GCGTCTTGCGTCTGCGTCAATGCGTCTCACACTAAACTAATTGCGTCACATGACTTTTAATTTTGACGACATGTATAAGTGACATGCTTCTAACATGATTTGTATGAAATTGATGAAATCATTATTTAATTGTGCAAAAATTAATTTTTTTTAACTAATTCATTTTAATTATTAGGACACATGAGCAGTGTTCCAACAAGATTTAAAAAAATCTACCCATTCATGACTTCAAACCATTGTATATCACATAGCTGGAAAAGAGGTTCTGGTATGTTTCCCTGACAACCATTTCCCCAACAGGACGTTTCCCCAACACTGTTTCCCCAACAGGACATTTCCCTGACAAATATTTTCACTGACTATAACATGCAAGGTTAGAATTGACAATAAAATAATTGAATTTATTGATTGCGCATTTGCTTAGATTAAATTAACATAAATAAAAATAGAAATTAAAAATACAAAAAAAGTAAATTACAAAGAAATATTGTGGGCAATCCCTCTTAAAAATTCAACAAGAGAATAATCATTGTGATTACTAAAAACTGCCAAAATTCGTTTTTCACAGTCAGCATAGCACTTTTGTTGGGGTGGCCAAGGTTCTCCATGAATAATGCTTTCTATTTGCATATTGGTTCATTGCTGCTCTTTATGCATTTCTTCTAAAATTGTGTAAACACCAACATGTGCTCTCCCAATTAAAGTGTTCCATCAATGATGCCATGCTTCAACTGTGTTTTGAGTTTGAGGATGACTGTGTCTGACAAGTTCATGGACAGACCAGAGTCCTGGTGGGAATAGTGGTGGGCTACAAACTACATTTCCATTTCTAAGCTCATGCCAAATTCTTCCATGGACATAGTTGTTCTCAAAATATTGGGCAAGTTCTGCTGCACTCTCAGGCAATAAAGGTCTGATTTGGTCAAAGGCATCTGGGATTTCAGACAGAGGTAGAAAGGCAAGGCTGTAAGATAACATAACTTGATACTAAAATCTTCATCATTGCTATATTCAATAGCCAATCCTAATGTTTGAATTTTTCTCCAGATGTTTTGACAAAGATGAAAAAAGCAACCCTTATTGATAGAACCTGGAAATTCAGACTGAGCAGCATTGATAGCTGCTTGTTCAAAGTCAGTAAGTATCATTGGCAGAGCTAAGTGATGGCCAGTTTCTTCACCCAGGTTGACTAACTCTTGAAATAAGCATCTATAACTTTCTTCTGACTTGCTTGTCATTAGAGTGTACACCATAGGAAAATCACATGCATTATTTTCGCCACCAACCAGAACATGGATGGTATAAATTTGTTGAGACAGTGTGGGTGTCGTTTTAAATGTACCATCCATTATCCAATAATTTGCTTCTTGTAGGTGCTGAAGGTTGGATGTTGTACAAAAAATCATAATCTTTTCTTCATCTAATTCTATTTCTCTTGCCGAAAACTGTTCACCACTGATGGTTGTGTGCAAGTGGGTGGGAACATCAATATCTTGCAATGATTGTGGTTGAGATGGTATGTTTTCATTTCTAACACGTGCAATTCGTTTACATAATGCCTCTCTACCTGGCATATTGGAATAAGAACTTTGAGACATGTTAACTACAGTATTTTGGATTATTTGAAGTGGAAAATCATGTGACTGAGATGCTGTTCTTTTTATTGTATCAAGTGCTTGGACTACTTCTTCACGACTTGCATCTGGTGATGATTGTGTTCTTTAAACTTTTTCAACACATGTTCCTGGCCCTTTAAAACTGTTGTCACTCTTTCCCATGCAGCTATATGCATCTTTATACTCACAGCACCAGTAATATTTCTCATCACAGTTCTTGTCTTTCACTAATATATAATGATCTTTTGTTTGCCATGTGTAGAGTTGACTAATTCGCAGACTTCACAGTTCATTTTAATTGAAATAAGAGAAAGACAAATTTAACAAAATTAAATAAAAGCAAAGTTTTTTGGAATGATGATTGAGATGACCATGTGTATATATATACACGATGATGTTAACCGGCTGAGAATTAAATAGTTTAACTGACTTAACCAACTTAAATAGGTTAAATAGACTTAAATGGCTAATAAATGGGTTGACAGATTAAATGGCTAGTAAACAGGTTTGGCAGATTTGGCTGTCTAACAAATGGGTTGACAGATTTAGCCTTTTAACGAATGGGTTGACAAATTAAATGGGTTTGACAGATTTAGCCATCCAACAAACAGGTTTGACGGATTTAGCTGTCTAACAAACAGGTTTGACAGATTTAGCTGTCTAACAAACAGGTTTGACAGATTTAGCCATCTAATAAATGGGTTGACAGATTTAGCTGTCTAATAAATGGGTTGACAGATTTAGCTGTCTAATAAATAGGTCAACAAAAACAGTTTGATAGACTTAAACAGATTACCCAGAAATGCACTGGCAATGTATTAGGAAAAAATTTGTCAGGGAAATGTCCTGTTGGGGAAATGGTTGTCGGGGAGATGTACCAGAACCAGAAAAGATGCTTCAGAAGAAGTTATATATTTTAAGAAATATGAAAAGACTTTAAAAAATTTGTATAGTTATTTTTCAAAGTCTTATAAAAGACAACAAATCTTAAAGATGATGCAGGTAATCACCATTTTTTCATCCTTATATTCTTTTTATCAATACTTTTTAATAATTTTTACTGTTAACTAGGAAATTAATGAAGAACCATCAACTGTAATCATACTTGTAATTGGAATTCCATAATTACAACAAATTTGGCATTATGTATAAGCCATAAATGATTTTCAGCATGAGACCTCAAAGTCATAAAAGTCGTAAACCATAAACCATAAAACCATGATGCTGTAATGCCATAAATGCCATAATGCTGTAAATGCCATAAATGCTGTAAATACCATAAATGCTGTAAACCCTAATACCATAGTAGTACTGTAACATCTAATACCAACATAGAAAATTTTTCCCATGAACCTTTAATAATATTAAATGTCTTTTTTATCAATTCAATTAAACATAACATAAACATACTAATGTAGGTTTTAAACAACAATGAGTGATAATAAATATTTATAGAAATAGTTATATTATAGAAGTGATAAGTTTTTTCTTAACAAAATATTTTTCAATTATTAAAAGGAAAAAATGAGTTCTATGAGTTCTGTCAGGTCAGGCATGTCAAGTAATCATCAAAGCAATGTTCAAAAAGAGGTCGTAAAGAATCAATTGTTTGGGAGCATTTTTTTAAAGAAACAATAGGAAATGGACACTTCTCTGCCAAACGTCATTATTGCACAGAAGCTTGGTCTAGAGGGAAACCTGAAATTTTGAAAGGGCATCTAGCTTTACATTGTTCTGCAGTGCCAACTAATGTGAAACTTGAATACATGCAAATACTGATAGAATAATTTTCAAGTTCTAATAAAATACAGAAGATAAATTCATCTCATAATGTTAATTTTGATGCAATTTTTTCTGAAGAATTGCTAGAGTAATTTTTTTTGGGAGAAATTTGAATTTTTAATTGTTGTAAAAATAATGATAAATAATAAATAAACCATGTTTCATATTAATATATAGACATGATGCCATTACTATTACACATGTCTTTTATTTTCTGGTATTTACTATTACGGTATTTGCGGTATTTACGGTTTTACGGTTTTACGGTTTTACGGTTTTACGGTTTACGTTATTTACGGCAAATAATACGGCACATGCCGTAACCGTATTATTTTTGTTTGGGAATTCCGACGACAAGTATAAGTGGGAAGATTTGGTGGACTTTTTTTTATTATAAAACTTACCCTGGGAAGATTTGGCAGACAATGTAAAGTGTATATAGCGAAAATAAAAAAATTTTTTTTTTCAAAGAAAAATAGGTTTTTATGAAATACAAGTATTGTTAAGAATATCATCAGTAAAAAAAAAAATTGTTTTACATACTAAAAAAAAAGATTTGTTTACTATGTAGTGAATTAATCTACTTTTTGCATCATACTATACTAAAATAAATTGATCAGCACTAATGCACTTAAGTAATGCATTTCAACTAATTGTCTATGCTACAGAGTTCTGTACTAAAATTCCATACATAAAATGATTGTTAAAAGAAATTTTTTTTAGCCATATCATTACTTAAAACATATTTTAAAAATTTTAATTTGTTACATTCTTAAAACATGCATTTCATAACAAAATATATTCTTCACTGCTCAAAATTCATATAATTTAAAATATGCCTTTTCTTCCCATTGTTATTCTTCTTTGCTAGCATGTTAATGTAATTTGTGGTGAACCAATCAGTTTTTATAAACTGTGATAATAATCCATGGAAAACAAATAATAAAATATGACTTTCAATATCAAAATAAATGATCATGATGAGATTAAGAAATATACAAAAATAATTATAGAAAAAACTCTATCTATTTTTTCAATTTCTTCACTTTCTACCAGAAGATCCTTGCGTTCAACTTCCACAACAGTCTATCTAGAGTTTACAGCAATTAATAATTCGGGTTCTCTGAAGTTTTGGTTATTATTATATTTTAAGCCATGAAAAATTCGTTGATTCAACTCAAAATTATGATTTTGAAGTTAGTAGTCGTGGGATATTGCATAACTACAGGGGTCAATTGTAACCCACCAATAAAAATTTTTCAATCAACATGGAATTTTATATATATTAACATGTAAAGTGAATAAAAAAATCATGTTTGTATGCATAAAATTGCACAATTTAAACAATTTAATCAAATCATTTCTTAAATTATAAAAAATAAAAAGTGTATGGAAAAACCATTATTGTGACATATTTTTTGCCATGGTAAACAAAAAATTTGTTATATATAATGAAATTGTGTAATGTCCACATCTCAACTTTTAGAATAATGAATTTAGGAGCATGGTGGAAGTTTGATTTTATTGGATATAAAATGTGACAAAATAAAATTTATATTTTTACCGAAATTAGAAATTTTAGGGAAAATCAAGATTCATATGGTATGTGTAACATTGATTACAATGAACAAAAAAAATTAATATATACAATCAGACCTCCATAAATGCACGCTATGTCTTGGTCCCAACCTCAGGACTTAGTGATAAATGCAACTCTCCATACTCTGCACTGCACTGTATTTTTTCAGTCCCTCTCATATGAAAACTCCCTCCATAAACGCACCCCACGTGACTAATGTATAAAATTCATCATGTAACTAGGATAAATTTAGAAATCATCAGCAAAATTTTTGATTTGATTGGATAATTTCCAATATGTAATGCAATCCAATTTCATGACTTTGTGTCACTAAATGCTTTCATAAAATGCAAGTTGATGAATTTTTGAATATCCCTGAAGAAAATATTGTCTGTGAGGTTCCAGATGATGATAAAATAATCAAAGAACTTGCAGAAATATATAAAAATAAAATGAATGTACCTGCTGACAATTTTGAGAAGATGGCATTAAGCCTTGAGGAAGCATTAAAGGTCTTGAAACTGTACATTCATTTTTATTACAGCAATAAAAATAACACTACAAACAAATAAAATTGGTTAATAAAACTGAAAGATATATCAATATAAAAAAAGTAAATTCATCAAAACAAACTACAATGGATAGTTATTTTAGTATTACTGTATTTAAAATATTGTGTATCATCTGTGACCAATGAAATTGCTTCTCTCCATAAATGCACACCTCCATAAATGAACACTGACCCTTGGTCCCAAGGGGGTGCATTTATGGGGTTTGACTGTATATGAAGTTTGTGGAGATATTACATTTATATAGAGAGTTGACTGTCTGTATATTGTCAAGTCACGTGATTTAGACTTCATTTTAATGATTGGGCAAATCTTAAAAGTATAGAAGTCATTTTCTGTCATATCTTTTAAAAAAATAGCTCTATTAGTTGATAGAATATGTATTTAGTTTTAATGTAATAAAGAGATTTTCTCAAAA